CCTTCTATATCCAAGGTTGCGGGTTCCACCCCAGCCCAAGTCGGTGGATCTTCATGATGCAGAAAATCGACAGAGGCCATGTCGTATGATTATACGGCATATAAAAGATCCCTTGAGTGTCCGTTTGACTTGGATGCTCTCGGCAAAATTAAATTCCTAAGTACAAATTTCGCATCGGCAGAGCTCAGGTGCCTCCCTCTGAGGGAAGAAACTGGGAGTCAAAATTACTTGCGGTAATTGGTATCGCCTAAATGGTGCCGCACTAAAAAGTCATACCAACTCCTAGGGAATGTACTAGGTCTGCAAAAGGTAGAAATATCAATACGCAGCCCCATTACAGGAAAAAAAATTTTCATTTCGATTTATATTATTTAAATATATATATCTGATAAACATCTCCTCAATAAGCATTTAGAGACCACAACAGCCAAGTGGCCATAGTCTCAAAATCCTTTCTGGCTTTGTCAAATACCTGGCTCGAGTCCTGATGCCACTGTAGATGGGCTGATACACGTAAAATTGTTGAAGCTTATAGATCTTACGTTGGCGGGATGTGGAAATTTGATGAGTGGGGTGCGAGCTTAGGTGCCTTCCCCGTCACTAGAACATTCAAAATTAAGAAGTCTATCGCCAACAGCGGTCGCTGAATTTCAAATTAGAAAAAAGTTCTAACCATTAAGCACTTTCTGATAGCAATAAAATGAAACTTTGTTTTTATAGGTATCCAAAATAATGACAGGAAATTAAATGTACCAGACTACAATGTTTAAAAAAAAACCGTATTTATTAATACAGAAAATTTTTGACAGAGAACTACAAATAAAAGTACAATTTAAAAAACTTTAAGCTGAAATAATAATAAGCATTTTATAACTTTAATTTGTCACGATTTGTGTTCGTATTTCTATTTTATAATGCTGATTTTACTTTTGGATGAGTCTCTTTTATGAGTCAACTTATCTAATCATCACTTTGAATTACCAAAATATAAATTATCTCGCTTTCATACGGGGATGATTTGCACAAATTTATGTCAGAATGTTTTGATTTCCAAATCTTTTTGACATGTTATTGATATATATACAGTGGAACCTCCAATTTACGAACCTCTATTTTGAGAATTTCTCTTTTTTGCGAACTTTTTCCTGGAACCAAGAACATTTTACGATTTTCTTCGTAAAATACCCTCCGAATAGTGAAGTGCTTTTTCCATTTAACGAACTTTTTTCTCTGGTGATTCAATTTTTTTCTCCCTATTTTAAAAATATTTCTGGTCCTTCGAATGAGGAAATGTTAAAATCATTTGAAACAATTCGACGTGGATTGCAGTTGGAAGAAAATACGACTGATGGATGTTTTGGTGCATTGCAAAGATGCGAAGCGTATTATGAGCGAAAATATTTTTTCAAACCAAAAACTCGAACAAAATTAATAGATTTTACCAGTAATTAAATGTTCTGATATATGCTTAAAATTACAGGTTATAAAGTACGATAGTTTAAAATTATTTGTAAACTTAAAATTAGAAAATGTCAGTAAAATTCATTAATCTTAATATAAGATTACTTTTTTTAAAATTGAAAATACATAGTATTTCAAGGCAACGTATTTTTCCCCCTAGTTTACCCAGCAAAAATCTTTTTGATGGGTAAGATATGTAAAATAAATAGGTATTAATTTACAAAAAAAGGTGAACAATACAAAATAGGTATTATACAATAATAAAAAAGGTGTTTATAATAATGTATATTATTTATGAAACTAAAGTTTGTTTTATGTGGAAAGATAAATCTCCATTTAATGAATTTTTCCATTAACGAACTTTTTTCGAGATTTAGAGACTTCGTTAAACAGGGTCCGACTGTATATATACAAATAAATTTCTTTTTGTTATATTTTAAAATTCAACCCAATCGTACGAATTTACTCTATTAAAGCAGTTCATTTCGAAATTATTTATTTACTTATTTATTTATGATTTAAATCGGACCTTCAATATTTCCAGGAGTAATTGAGATTGCAATGGGAAATTAATATTATTGTTATTTGTCATTCTTTTTTGCTGATCATTAACACAAATATAGTTTTAAATGGAAGTTTTGCTTACAGCCATGAAAAGAATTTTGTTTTTTAAAATATTATTAATAATGTGAAGATAAATTTCATTTTCCAATATTTTAAATTGTTTCGTAAGTAGTTGCAACAAAAAATTTTTGGTAAATAAAATTACTTCGAAGGGATTTTTTTTAATGTAGAAACGTAAAACAATTGAGCATTTCAAATGCTCAACATCTCACTTAATTGCGTGTGGGAGAGGGATTTAAAACATTCAGAAAAGAAATCATAATATTTTAGTATATGCACTGCCGAAGCCACCGGTATATTAGCAAGTATTCATTTAAAATCAGATAAAAGAAAAGAATTGAATTTATAATATGGAATATATATAAAGAATGTATACAAATATACAAAGCATGAAATGTACAAAATGTGATACAAAAAAAAAAAAAAGATATGAGAATTATATTTATTAATAACACCTTTAAGGTATTCGACTACGTTCGGAACCGTGATTTTTCCAAAGCGTATAAATGGATAATATTTATGATATTTAGTGTTACTTAGATTAGAAAATGTATTTAAAATTGTTTTTTAAAAATATTATTACAATAAAAAATTATTTAAGTACAATAAATATTTTGACAAAAAATGAACATAGAATGACCTATTTTCAAAACATTCTCCTTTTATGAAAAATGCTTCTATTACAATAATATTTTGCCTGTATAATATTTTGTCTGTCTCAGACATCTGTACAGCGGCTTGAATTAGAATTTTTGAAATGTATAACTTAGAAGTGGATTTATTCATATTTTACTGCAACAGAGGAGAGAAATTTTAAGGAAAAAACGTCGATAATTATTTTAATTGATGGTAACTCTGAAAATAATGTGAATTTTTCAAAAATCGTTGTTCAGACTCTCTGGAGAAGTCTTTACTTTATATAAGCACACACACACACAAAATATTATTATTACAGATGCATTTTTTACAAAAGGAGAACATTTTGAAAAAGGTTATTCTAAGTTAATTTCTTGCCAAAATATTGTATTTAAATAAAAAAAAAATTGTCATTATATCCTTAAAACAATTTTATACACGTGTTATAATCTAAGTGAACTAAATATCATGAAAATTCTCCAAAAATGCACTTTTTTAAAATCACGGTTTTGGAACGTAGTCGGGGATACCTTAAAAGAATATTCATTTCTAAATCGTTACTAAAAAAACCGGGCTGAAAAAAATGAGCCGTCGTTCTTGCTTTATGGCTTAGTCAACCGGGGACTGAGAGGGGGAAAAGTCATTTTAAAAAAGATGAGGGGGAAACCCTCCCGCGTTGCTTTCAGGGAACTTCACATAGTGAAAATTTCCCGCTCTCATAGAAACTCGCAACCGTCACCTAAGGGGAGAAAATGAGGGAAAGGGAAGCGTGTGTAACGTTCGAAAAAAGGTTTGGTCGTAATTTCGTTTTGCAAATTGATGTTTGTCCACATCCTCGTCGAAGATCGTTCTCCTAGATATGCATGGAACATTTCCAGGGTGTCTTAGAAAAGGGCTGCATATTTCAGATACTTATTTCCGAAACTTGAATATAAATAGATTGAGAAGTTATAATGGAAAACATTTTTTCTGCCTCTCAAAACGCAGTTGTGATTTTGGTATTTTTGTTGCGTATATTCTGATTTTTCAAAATTGTTAAAAATATTGGCAAAGGGTTTTTCGAAGCTAAAAAAATACATAATTGAGTTTCAATTGTCTTGAACGGAAAGTAGAAAATTCATAAAATAGAGATAATTGATAGTTTTATGCTTATTTATTTAGTTTATACATACTGAAAGTATTTGCCTAAATTTATATTTCTTTCATATTTCAGTTAAGTCTGAAATAATCGTTTCACGTCAAAGTTACAATGCTAATTAAATAAAACGACTGTTGTAAAAACAACTAAAATAAATGATTGCATGGTAGAGTACTAAAATAATTTATAATTCTTTTCAAAATTTCCCTAACGTCTAATAAATTTTAAGATATGCGTATCTATCTGTTTCAGTAATCACATTTTTCAGTGTATAATTTATATCAGCAGAATTATTAATGTGTTTTCGATATATGAGATGATAAATGATACTTTTTACCGCAATCTAGTTCAATATTAACTGCACTACAGAAAAGTTAGTGAAGAAACAATTTAAAAGCAATTACTTTTTATGTGTGATATTTCTATTATTATATGTAATGGGAAACAACATGATTTCTTAAGGTATCGTTATTATGTTTGCTCAGTTTGTATCTCAGTAACAAAAAAGTTTTAATAAACATCGAAAATGATATTTATGAAATTTATCAAAAAGTCCTGTTCTTATCATTTTTATTACATTGTGATTAAAATTACTAATTAAGTTTTAAGAGTACTCTTGTATCTGGTTTTGTAACAAAGGTAATTGTTCAATTTATATCCTCTCTTATGTCTTCAAATTACAAATAATTATTTTATTAGTTTATTTTACTTGACTGTTTGCTTTATACTAGAAAACAGTATCAAAACCGAGAACAATTCTTCTGTTTGATTTTGCATCCAAAACAGGGGCGTAGCTACCGACATATCAGCCGTATCAATGATACGGGGCCCTCAAGCTACATGGGCCCCTGCATGTGTAACTACAGTCCAACTGATAGGGTTCTCATGTCTGAAAAAGGGCCCCGGAAGGAACTTTATACAGGGCCCACTCAGAACTAGCTACGCCAGTGATCCAAGATGATTGCCCCATGGATCTATATTCTCAAATCTTCAAACCTAAATAAACTATTTTATTTAACTATTTTACTTGAGTGTTTGTACTTTATATTATATATAAACAAGTAATATAAAAAAAAATTTAATCAAATTTTTTAATCAATTTTCCTACTTAGATCAACAAGGAGAAGCTCAAAAATTAGGCCACCCCAGGTAGGATTCGAACCCACGATATTTGGATTCGAAGTCCAACGCGCTATCCATTGCGCTACAAGGACATAACGAGTGAATATCCTGTTCATATTGAGTTTTGGACTATTATTTTCATTTATTACTATTTATTCATTTTTTTAATCGAATTAATATTTGAAAAAACTGCATTAACATCAAGTGTCATCCACTACAAGTTTTAAAAAATGTATTTGAATTTGAATGGATGAATAGAAAGTATTTTATTAGCGATTGAAAATTTGAACAAGATATACGTATATATAGAGAGAGAAGGAGAGAGTGAACTAATGATAGGAATTGAAAAACAGTATCATATACGAGAACAATTCTTCAAATAAAAAAAATCCTTTATGGGATATTATTATTGTCATAATCTGACTTTTTGCAAGCGTATTCATTTATTTTTTAATTTTCCTCGCCAAAAATTTGCTCTACATTTCCTCTTCTGTACAAAAATAGTGAAAAAAAAAAATTTCTAACTTTACATGCAAAGAGAAAAAATTATCTATTTGGGGATATTTATTTATATTTACTAAGGACACAGTATTATGAAAGAGTGATTGTGTATTATCGCTCAAACTTATATTAGCATTGTTATAGCCGAGAAAAAATGTTTTGCTTTTTTTTTTTTGGAAATTGAGCAAAAATAGCCTTAAAAATGGATATTAATTTCATTGGCGAGTTTTTCATCAAAAAATTATATAATGAATAAAGATTCACGAGAAGCTTTACTTAAAATTAAAGTTCTTTCGACTCACAAGTATTTATTTATTTTATCTATATTTATTGTATTTTGTGTTAAACCGTCGAAATTCATTAAAAGCTAAAAACATTATTTTTTATGGTTCTTTTAACAAAATGGAATGAACTTTATAACTTTAAACAGTTTTGTCGAGGGATGTACAGTCGAACCCCTATTTAATGAATTTCGCAAATGGCGAATTTTTCTCTTCCCCGATAAAATTGATGACGAACCCCCCTATTTAACGAATAATAAACCCCAAATTAACAAATTATTCCAACAGCTGAAATTTTTTTTTATTATTTTGTATTTTAAAAAAAAATGAATTTTTCTTAAAAATGACATATTTTTTAAATCAGGAACTGATTTTTCTTGCAAGCAGCAAATTTTTAACATTATTAGACCTCACAGATGTAGGAGAGTCATGAGTGTAACCTATTATGTGATTTTTGAATGGGACAGGAAATCCCTCTCTTATCTCATCCCCAGAGGCGTAACGTACACCTTAGCTTCACGAGGGGGGGGGGGGGGGTTCTCGGCGTCGTGAAAGCGAATAAAGTATTGAACCAATTCAACAAATATTTAAGGCAAAACCAGACATTCCACGGGGTGGGCTCTAATATTCTCCGTTACGCCACTGCTCATCCCACTCCACAACGCAAGGGATATCTTAAGATTCCACTATTATGTTATATTTAATGACGGACTGCCTACTAGTGCATCTGAAGCCGAGGAAAAATTATTGATTTGTAAGAGCCAATGAGTAGAGATTCTGATACAGAATTTGGCAATGAAACTCCTATAAAAGCTGTTACGTTTTCTAATGCTTTACATCAGTGATTCCCAAAGTGGTCTATATAGACCCCCAGGGGCTTATGATGACTTGCAAGGGGTCCACATCAGTGAAAAAATAATTTAGGGGTCCATGAGGTGTAAATGGGGGTCAACGCACGAGCGATAGTGGCTCTCATTAAGCCGGATCATGACTTTAATTTTAAAAGAAAATTTAATCAAGTGGAAAACAGACTTCCCTATTTAACAGATTTATTTACTAAATTGAATGGACGCTGCAAATCTTCCCAGTTTCTCGATTGTCACAGACAATCTACCATGAAAAAGACGTTTCAACCAACGTTCAACATTTAAATGCTTTTTTTCTAGATTTTGAAACTAACTTTGAGAATTTTTGACTATCGAAATACCACAATAGGCAATAAATTCAATATGGTCTCATTAAAAAAAAAATGCCATTACAAGAGGAATTGATCGGAATAGGCAGTAACGGATATCTTAGAAGTAAAGTTTAGGAACGGATGTCAATAATTTTGGCTTTAAAAAGCTATACCTGTTATTTTTTTCATATTATGGAATATCTTGAGAAAGTTTTTAATTGTTTTT